CAACGAAAGCGACGAAACATTGAGCGCTTTGGTTGGTCGATTGTGAAAGCGCAAGAAAGAAAACAATCAATACTCTGTGCTGATTGGCTTACGGCGTATTCAGTGCAGTTCCATTGATATTTTCTGTTATAAATACTCAAAGCGCAATTTTACGTTTAGTTCGCTGTCTGCAACGTAGCTCCCTGTGTCGTAGAAAATGCCGCCCAAAGCTCCAGCTAAAGCCATCAAGAAGGCGATGAAGTCGCAGAAGTCGACGAAGAGTGGTGACAAGAAACGTCGGATGCACCGCAAGGAGTCGTATGCTAGCTACATTTACAAAGTCCTGAAGCAGGTTCATCCCGACACCGGCATCAGCAGCAAGGCGATGTCGATCATGAACAGCTTTGTGAACGATGTATTTGAACGCATTGCCAGTGAAGCTTCTCGTCTTGCCCAATACAACAAGAGAAGCACGATCAGCAGCCGAGAGATTCAGACCGCTGTTCGACTTCTGTTGCCGGGTGAGCTGTCGAAGCACGCTGTCAGTGAGGGCACGAAAGCCGTCACGAAGTACACCAGTGCGAAGTAAAGAGCGGTGAACTTCTTAGTTCTTTCAACCCAACGGCCCTTTTCAGGGCCACCATTTGACTGAGTGCATGCTTTGCCGGCATTGAAACTGGTTTAAGCATTTTTTAATGTTGACTGATTGCCAGTTTATTCAAAAATTGATTGCAAAGTTTAAACTAACTTTAAGACAATTTGACCAAAACTGAATGAGGTTGCATCGCAATTTGATTTGTTGAACAATTTCATTTTCTGCTTATGGTTGCGCTGATCACGTCAAGGTTTGTTCTTGAAAGTTTTGTATGCAAGTTGTCAATGTGTTTGTACGTTTAATGACAATTGCGGTCTCGTGCACATGCTTTTTCGGTTTCGCGATATAAAAGTATTCGGTTTTGATCGCTTTCGAATTATCTGTAGAGACTGTCACGTTGGAGACGCAGTGATGAGTCATAAACTTGCACATGAAAGACTACACGCGCGTGACCGTGAGTCGTAACTGCTGTCACAAGGTCGAAAAGACGTAATCTGTTACACAAATGGAAAGGCGAACTTTGTTACGATGATCTTTACGTTTTTGTTCGGTTCACCAGGAGTTCCATTGTTTAAGTCAACAGGTTTCCCTGATTTTTAGTAAGGTCGTTTTCTTAAGTTTAAGCGAATAAAGCGCGGCCTTTATAGAGCGCAGTTCGGACCATTGAAGGTTGATCGGTAATGGCGTACTCGTTGAGTGTAGGTATGATTTTTGTTACGCATCGCTGTTTGTACAGTGGGTTTTGGATCTTTGTCCTGCACCGTTGCCCCGTTAGTAAAAGTCAGTTTTTCCGAAGGTTTTCAAATAAGACTGGATGTTACCGCTTTTCTCTGATCTTTTTCAAAATAGGAAAATAATAGGCGAATATTATCTGCAGAAATCGAATGCGATCTGGTTCAAAATGGTAGAAATAAGCTGTTGGTTGTATGAAATAAAAATTTTTGAATGCGACTCTGTTACGTCATTGATCATAATCGATTCTTCATTTTTTCCGTAAAAACGAAGTATTCTTTGAGGATTTTGGGTTGAATCAAACCAAGCTAACCATTGGAAACGGCGTTAAGTTGAGCGGCGGCTTTCGGGCATCATTCGGAAAAGTTTTGACCTGAAAGTATTAAAATTGCTCGATTAATGTTGCCCAGTATCGATCAGAAGGTACTGTGCATTTGTAGATTAGCGTGACTTTTTCCTTCTTGGTGAAAACAGCAGTCCTTTGAAATTTCGTTATTAATTTGACAAATGATAGACGTTGAGGATAGGCTGAGCTGATCAGGAACAATTTTTTACCGATGTCCGAAGTTGAGTATAACGGAAATTAACTAATCGATTTGGCATAGTAGCCCCGTGTGTTAGAGGTCTGCTTCGAATTCCTATTATCAGGGTGGACGCGTTTTTTGTGAATTCCCTTGGGCAAGAAATTTAACTGATTTGCTTCAGTTCGGGATTACTCATTTGATAAAGCTGATGTAGAACCGCGTTGCAGCCCTCTCCGGGTTTCTTCCTTCTGAGACTGATTACCGCTCTATGCAAGGAAACTAGTGCAACACTAAATTCCACATGGTTGCTATCGACTGAAGATCGCCAGAATGGCTACTTCATAATACTTTGCCTAATGTATGGTTGAGACAAGAGATAGACAATCCTTCCACCTGGATCGAAGTCAGTATCTTCGTAGTTCGAATTACATCACTACACAAGCGTGTGTAGATTATGACCCAGCGCTATTTGGTAATTTTTTCCTTCCGTACTTCACTTTGCGTTGCTTTGTTCTTGAACAGCAGTGAATAAATTGACCTGTTATTAAACTGACTACTTTTCAATAAGTTTACTTTTTGTTTCACCTGTCATCATTTATTTTTTGTTTTTTTCTTGTGTTAGATGCAATAGTTATAATCATAGGATGACTGGATTAAGGTGGCCCACTGGCCATCATGGAATTTAAAAGTGTACCCATCGTATCTGTCGAACTTCTTCACTTCATCCAGCCATTGATTTTGTAGTCTTATGGGTTGTTTAACATCTCTGGTGCAGGTCTGTTCTTCTTGCAACTTGTTGAACCCATTGCTATTAATTTACTGACTTTGGCAATGATATCAGACACCTTTATGTGCTATTAGCCATTCATTCGCCTTCCATTCTTTTCTTGTTATTCACAACACATTTTCCCATGCTGCGTTACGTGGTTTCCAGTTTATGAATAGCTTTGAGAGTTTGAGTCCACGTTTCGCATCCATCAGTTAGCACTGGCAGCATACGCTGGTCAAATAGTTTACGTTTCAAGCATAAGGGGCAGTTTTCACGGATAAGAACATTTTCAACGTTCTAAAGGTGCTCTATATGGTTTTTATTCAGCTGATTTCACGTAGTTTGCATAATGTAAGGATATTTTATAGGCCCATTTCGAAACAAACCAATGGCAATCGAAGTAACTGGAGCAAAATCAATGTAATAAATGCCATTAAACCACCATCTTAGTTTAAATGCAATTTTCTCAAAGCTACAAGCAGAATGCATTAGGATCCAAAAATATGCATTTACTATTCTCCAAGAGTATTTAAAAAGAAATCAAAACAAGAAAGAATTTTTTTGGAAGAATCACGTAACGAGTTCCATCAGCTCATTAAGCTCCGCGTGAATCCTGTGGAAAAGTTCGTGATTTTTGGTTTCCTTTGATCGTGAAATATGCTCACTGATTTTTCGACAAATTTCACCTATAAAAGTACATTTCTTAAAACATATGATTTAAGGCAAATACAATATGCGAAGTCAAGGATTGTGACAAATTCTATTAAGTCAAAAGTAACAGCAAACATTTCAAAATGGTTTAAAGATTAAACAATATTTGTGATGCAGAATGAATATTACGTCCCAAAAAATATTGCTGTAGTTCCTTACCTGGCACCCTTAGAAGCCTAAACTGTAATTAACTACTCGTACTATTTGTAAAGTTGAATTATTATTAGATTTTGACTTATCGCCGTTAGTTGCTACAGCTCTTCAGGTAGGTTGGAGCTGCTTAGTCGGAAGCGTGTAGGTTTCGGAATCGACAGGTGGCGGGTTTAATTAAACTCCTGTCGGACCACTCGTCTTTCTTCCTTCTAAGGTTGGTAAATGAGAGCACTCTGTGACAAAAAAACAGGAAATTACACAATAACCTTGGATTTTGTCCTTTACTGCTACAACCAGGGTTCCATCTGAGTCCGATTTGAGTCTCTGCATAAATTAGTAAAGCATTGTCCGGAGGAGTGACTTCTTTTGATGGATTATGCTCCTGTTGGAGACTAAATAAACGTTTAAACTATTCTCGCAGCATAAACGTTTCGGATAGAGTTAAGACAATTGCACTATTTAATTCGCACAGTTGACGAAGTACATATAAGACCATGGTGCAAGAGGTATAAAACTAGGGACTAAATACAACGTTGTGAATCGTCTCCCAAACGAAACCTCAGATTGTTTTACTTAAGACAGCAAATAATATCGTCAAACACGTATAATATATATAATTTATTTGAGGTAAACGAAAGTCAGTCGCCTACCACCAGGAACGTGCTAATGCAATTTTAGTATAAGATTGTTATAACATGGCAAACTCTGCTGCTTCTTGTAAGAAAGAAAGAAAGTCTCAGAAATTCAGGAAGGCAGGAAATCTTATAGAAGGCGACGCTGTCTGTCACGGCTCCTGCCATCTGTAAAAAGATCTGTCTACATTCATAAGTAAATCTCTCAAAAAGGGTTCCTTGCGTTTATAAACAGTATAGGAGACAGAATCAACTATTCACTAGATTGTACTACTGGGGTGCTAAATTGCATTTATCACTTAAGCAGAAAAAAATGAAAGTTCAATAACAGCTGATTTATACACAGATTACCATGCATGGACATCTGAATTTACATAAGCAGCACTGTAAAAAATTCATACGGTTCAGGAGTATTGTTAGCTCACGTTTCTGCCGTCTCAAGAGATAGAATTTTTATACACGGAAATATCAGTTGCTTCTCTCTGCTGATAGCTTATATTACTACATGTAGTAAGGTCTCTTATTACTACTTAGCCAGAGAGTTGCAAGAGAAATCATAAAATTACGTCGATCCTTCACTGTCTGGCAGAATATTTCGTCAGGCCAGAATTTTGAAAAATGAACTACAGGTTTGTAACGGTTGGGATTAAAGTATGCATACAATATGAACATTGTTTAAGGCATTCCTTTTTGCTGTACAGTTGTCCCATATTGGTCTGTTTCACATCTTGAGTTTAGAGAGCCTATTTCCTTACAGACAGTATCTACCTCTAGCCAGTAACCGCAGTGATACATGTTACATTCCATGATATGTTACTGATTATAGTACTCAAATCGGTCAAGGACAAATCAAAAGTGAGTGATCCGGCCAGATATCGAACCAGCGAGATTCTCTAGTGCCGTCCTGACCAACGAAAAACAGCACACTGTACAACTTCGAGTTTTATATATATTCACTATGAAATGGTGGCAGGGTATACCACCGCCAAAACTTCTATCTAGATGATATCCTATCACAACTACCAGTGGTTGAAAGAACAATGCTTGGTCGAAACAGGAAAAATTCTTACCACCAGTATTCAAAGTGCTCGCATTACAAGCAAGAATTTTCACTATTCTCAGAATCAGGAGGAAGACCTTCAGCGTTTCTGCATCGACCCGGCAGTCGGCTTTATAGATTGTAGACAGAGCATGGTCCAAAGCAGAAATGACGTTGTCCGCTGCCTGTACTAGAAATAAAAATTTTTCAGTCAAATTAAATCACAAAAATAAAAACAAATTACATAATGTCTGAACCCCTTCTTCGAAGGTAGTCAGAGAATAGACGGCACGGATCAAAACAGTGCACGTCAGTGTGTTACCGTCGTCTGCGGTCGTTCTGACGGCATCGAACAGAGGGTCGAGCGGCAGTCGACGTTCCGCGAGGGCGATCTTCAACCGCATGCTGTGATCCATCAGCATATCGATGAATTGAGCCGCAGAAAGGATGAGATCAGCTTGAAAATCAATGGTCAAATTTGTGCTAGGGTAGGGCTTTAAACTTTAAACCGTTGGTCGAATTGAGGACCATGAAAACGACATCGGCGAAACAGTCGCGCCCAAAAAATGCTTCGTCCCAAAACTCGTTCCAGCGGTTAGACTCAACGGCTGTAGAAAGCACCCTAGATAAAGCAAGCGCCGAAACATGACTGGAAATTATACGTTAATCACCCATCACTCACCTGAGAACCTGAATCAACGTAGCGACATCCGCATCACGTGTAAGAGACAAAATGGCTTCGCTGAAAAAAATATATACACACATCGGCGGCGAAAAAATCAAAATAACAGGATTAGTATGTTATTTTATATATATATGGGAAACTGAGAAAAACTGATTATACCGTTATTTTGTCATTCCCCTGAATGAGGACGCTATTTTTTAGTTGTAAACTGTAAAAGTGACAGAAAGCTGTCAGTTTGGACAAATCCAAGAGATTCAAGCGCCACGAATTTGAAACAGGTCGTAACTAGCTACAGAAACTCTATACGGAAAAAACCGAAAATCAGCATTTGTTACCGTCCACAGTGATAATCTTTCTATATCGGTACGATGAAAATGATTCGTGTGGTCCACAGTCCAAAGAGGTAACTTTTCGTTATAACTGCCGAATGTTATTGCGGCATCACTTTACTTTACTTATACGTGAAATTAGCAGTGAGCCAAGCAAGCAAGCTTGGC